AAGAGATTTCAGTATCTGGCTAATAAGAAGAACATGAGGTTCTCGGGAAGAGGAAATGGCTCCATAGGAACAAGCTCCAAATCAATAAAGGTGATTTGAAAGGATGCTTCAACTGTAAGAAGCTTGGTCACTTTATTGCAGAATGTCTAGAGCTGTAGAAAGACCAGCCAAAGAAAGGAAGATTTAAGAAGAACAACTTCAAAAACAAGGTCAAGAAAAGTCTCATGGAAACATAGGATGAACTTGACAAAGAAGAATATGACAAAGATGAATAAGAAGCCAATATGGATCTGAGGGCTTCAACATCTTCAGACACGGAATCTGACTCAGATTCTAGCATAAATTATGAAGAAGAAAAAGATGTGGTATTTTCTCAACTATCTCGATTAGATTTAATTTCTTTCATTCAAGAAATCATGAGTCGTTATTAAGATAAAGCCTCACGTTTGACAAGTAATTTGCGACCATTTGATCCAAAAAATTAAACTCATTCACTGGAGATTCCACATCCAAGATTAGGATGCCAAACACTTCTATATTCCAACTCCTTAGTTTTCCTTTACGAATCTTATTTTCTTTGATTACAAAGGCATATTTGCCTTTCAAATTTATTGATCTCTGAGTCTTTTCCACAAAAGGAACAAAATCACAATGCTTAAGCCAACAATTATGAAATTTGAAAGGTTTTGGCCCCACATTGGACTCATTACCTCTAATCCAAATTAGGCAGTGATTAGATAGATCTCTGTTACCGACACCTTGTCCTTCATTATTCCATTTTATAATCAGTACTTTAGATAAGAGAAAAATCTACCCAAGCAACTTATTGCCTTGCAATCCAGTTTATACTAAGTGATTTTACTGCCCAAGATAAGAACATTTACTACCTTCACACCTTCAATGAAATCACTAAATTCAAGCATCTCTCCTCTATTCAATTGGGTGTTTAAACCTTTCCTCTCCACCTCCTATTTAACAACATTAAAATCTCCAGCTCTACACAACTCTCCTAAAGGGAATTTGCTTTTAATATCAACTAATTCTTTTCAAAAATTCCTCTTATTTTAATTGAAGCAAGATGAATAATAATTTACAATATAGAGATTGGTTCCATCCCCACAAACCCCTCGTCAGTGAAATTGATATTAAGACCAAACATACATTCTCTCCACATGATTAGCAAGTCGCCAGATCTACATTGTTTAGAAGTCCATTCCACATCTTTACCACCCCATAAGGAAATTATCGTATCCTCATCCATCATTTATACCTTAGTTTCTTGTAGCAATAAAACTTAAAATAAGCCCTTCCTAATAGATTAACATATGCGCTTCCTTTTGAAGGAATTGCCACTCCCACGGATATTGTAAGATAAAATATTCATGGTGCACTATTTTTAGTTGCTTCCTTCCTTCTTGGTCCCTAGCATTCAAGTATTTAATTTCATCCACAAGAAAACTTGTATCCCCCCTTCTTCCTTCTAGGTCCCTAGTCTCCAAACATTTAATTTCCTTCTTCCTTTTGGGCTAGCACTACTGGAAAGGCTCGAGTATGAATAGTTATGTTTGCCAACCTGTTTTCTTGATAACCTGATTTAGTTGGTTGGACCTTTACTTTACTTTACCCACCTTTGCCACGGGCCTAAACCGATTAGAATTATGTTTATCTTCCATAGAGTTTGATGGACCCACCAAATCCTTATTTGAATTTTCTCCCAAATCATATGAAATATCATGCTTCGACTCTATGTCTGCCACCATTTTCAACCTATGACCTTCCCTTTCCTAATCTACTACATTTCCAATGTTACTTGTCTTTGGTGAAAATAAAACTAATGCTCCTTTTACTTGTTCATGGTTCCCTTGTTCTAAATAAGTTTCCATGATACGAAGAAGCTCATCATTATCTTCTTCCTCGAACATTGAGTTATGATCTTGGAAACCAACCCACGCCTTGGAGTATTATTCATCTGATTCTGATTAGTCATGTTGATCCTTAGACCTCAACGGAATGTTGATACTCAAAGGCCCATGATCATCTTCCACCATATTTAATCTAAACACATATCCATTAATCTTAATATTAAATTCCTCATTCAAATCACTAGAACACTTATTTCTAGCCAAAATCCAATATACATCCATTTTTGGTTGATCTATTGTTCCATTATTAAAGCACATGTACGTCCACACCGACTTGGTAATAAACTCAAAAAAATTATGATTCTAAGCATGACAAGGATCGCCATAAATTCGTAACCACTTAACTCTTTTAGAGTCCATATCATTAGGTTACCATATCTTAATCTCTTTAAAACAGTGCCTTAACCAATCCCTTCCATTGAAAATGAAATCTGCAAGCTCTCTCAGTTCCCTTTCATCAAGGAACCATATATTAGCTCTCAACAGAGTAACTTAGAACACAAAATAACCCCTAGTGTCAAAAATGTCTTGGATATTGTACATTATCCATGTGTTTTCAAGCACCCATACATATGCTTTCTTAAACTTACTCCAATCGTCTTCATCATCAAATTTGAACTCCAAATACACGAACGAATGTTCAGTTGGTCTTTGCAGATTAGGTCTTAAAACCTTGTTAAGCTTTGTCATTGTCTGTATTTTAGTGTCTCGTGTAACATGAGCATAAGACCCTGTGTCTCTGAAGCCCACACCATCTAGAATCCCATAGTTGTTTTCATGCATCTCTCCCTTCTTGAAAGACTTGTTCCACAATAAGTGCTCGCTCAGTTCCACCCTTTTGTTAGTCTCTCTTTCCAGAGTGTGTTTTCTGAAATTCTCTTAGTTTTCCCTCAAAGAAGACGTTGTATAACTCGATAGCTATCACTCTACCGTCTTCACATTAGAGAACCTAACGAACTCATATCTTCTTCCCCAAATATCTCTCATTGAATGAATGGCTACCTCATTAATGTCTGCACTTTTTGATTTCTTCATACATATCTTTAACCCTACACCCATCTAAAAATGAAGTGAAGAAGAATATTGTTGCAACAGACGTCGTATGCCTCCTTCTAGGGGTGACAAACGGGAATGCACGCCCCGTTTACGCTTACACCGCAAAAGTCCGTAAGAAAACGAAGAAGAGAGGACATAGTTTAGAGTGCGGACCCAAAACCTTGGTTTGTACCATAAAAAAATAATGGCGCGACAAGGAATGTCTGCGAGCTTTGTACCTGTTAGGCCTAAAAATGAAATTTTTTATGTAAATGCTCGTGCCTGCAAAAATCCACAAAATATAGGACGGAACGGGACAAACATATTTGAGGTTGTGAGTCAAAAATCTTATTCTGTCACACGGAAAAATACAGGCAAAATAGACGTGCCGAACAGACCGGACTCGTTTTACCACCCGCTTCCTCCTTCCATGATTATTGCCAACGTTGTCCTATTGATGATTTTTCCTTGGCCCCCTCCTATTGTTAACGTTCTGCCACTTCCCTCCTCCATCCTCAAAGTTTCCCATACATTAATTTGGACTTATTTCAATATTGTCATTTTTGATAAAATGACTTGTTAATTAGGTAAATGTTAGGAGGCCACCCAACACTAATTGCTATCACTTTGCCATAAATATATCCTTTCATTTGTGGGTAATTTCAAGAGGTCAGTTTTCAAAACTCATTTTTGGTTGAAAAAGAATCTTCAACTATCAAAATAGAAGCCGTACAATCTAAAAAAGTGATTTTGTCATATTTAAAGATTCTTTTAAATAAAATTTTTTTAAATTAAATTAACTATTTTTGCATTAAATTAACGGAAAAAATTATAATATAATAACATACTAAAAATTGATTTTTTTAGAAATATTTATTTTTATAATAGTGATCTAATTCTTGTTTTCAAAAATATATGTTTTTTCAATACTAAAAATGTTAGGACTAAATAACAACATGATACCCATATATATGAACATCTTAAAGCAGAAGAAACAAATTTTAATGTGACATTTTAGTTATTATTTTTAAGAGATAAAATTTTAATCATTAAACTATTAAAAAATATATTATAATTTCAATTGAGAACATTACATACATAAGCCTCCTCCTCTAATCTTAGTCACTAACACTTTTCTTCTTCTTCTTTATCTATAAGAGAGGGTAATTTAGAATCAATCTTGATCCAAAATCATTTTCTTTAAATAATTTTTGTTTTTATATTAGTTAAATAAATAATTTTCATATATATTTACTGTTTCTTTTGTTTTTTTTTATGATTTCGTCATTTTAGTATGTGAGTATTTTGTTTTGATTTTCGATTTGTGTGGTATATTTTGTTTTTCCGTTTTTGTGCGGTGTTTATTTGTTTCAGATTAAAAGATTAGTTTTAATATAGTGCAGATCCAATCTATGATTATTATGTCATTAACGCTACAGATTCAAAGACATGAATATTTCAAACATTCAAATACAATCATATTCATATTTGTAGGCTTATTCATGCATTAATATGAATATTGTGAGTTTGTTCACAGATTTACTCTTTTTGTTTTTAATGATTTTGAATTTGTATTACACCAATATACTCTATCCATTTAAAATTAAAAATGAAAATATTAATCGAATCTAATTTTTGTTTAGACACGCAACCTATTGGTACAACAAAGTTACGTATGCAATTTAATGCAAATTTACACCACAAAATAAAAAACAAGAGAATGGCTAGGAATGAAACAAATCACCTCACCATTTTGATTTAAACTCCGCATGTGAATGTTCAGAATACAGGTGGTAGAAAAACACCTCAGATGAAACTGACTATTCAATATTTATTACACAAATATTTCATTTATTTCAAATATATTATTATTCCACTAAAAGCAACTATATTATTATTGTCTCCAAAAACCAAAAAAAAAAGTAAAAATATTATTCTCTCTAGAAGCCACTCAGCCAAAGAGTTAACTTCCTCTTATAAAGTAGACAAAAAGTCATGTGTAACAGCTAGCATGAAACCACAACTCCAAAATGTAGCATTGATTTAGTCATGGTGATTCTGGTTCAGCTCAGGATCAGTTTGATAAAACAGAATATCACCAGTGTCACTTACAAAGTGATCGTGTTTCATGCTTTGTACTAAGTATTTTATTAGATGAAATGGAATTGGTGATGATTTTTCTGGCTCACGGTAATATTTTCCAAATACTGGTTTTGCTGCTTTTGTCTGCAATGAAAGAAAAAAAATTAAGTGAGTTTAATAGCAGGCACAATATATTTCAAAAATTGTGTGTATTTCGCTTAATGACAATAACTATCAAAAACAGTGTTTGATGTGAGACAAAACATTCAGATTAATGATATTGGCACTTGTTAGAATAAACATCGCCATCAACATCACCGTCACGTATATAGGTGTGTTTGATCCACAAAGTATTTAGATTAATGATATTGGTATTTGTATCAACACGCATTCTGAACATAATTAAATCATGAATTTAATTAGACAAAATATTTAAATTAATAATATCAAATATTTATTGTACCGCTTCAACCAAGTGATAATGAGGAATTTGAGGAAAAAGATGATGAACAACATGTGTGCCAATATCATGATGAATGTTATTAATCCAACCATAGTCACGATCAACGGTTGTAAGGCCACCTCTTAGATAACTCCATTCCTGTTAAATTGAATACATGAGTAATCAAATGAAAATTAAAATTAAAATTTAGATCCATAATAAGTTGATAATGTATATTTAATTAACAATTGAATGTGGTTAATTAAATGATTAAGGTTTAACCTGGCCACGGTACCATGGTAATTTCTGTGTATAACCATGGTGATGCAAGTATGTGACAAAATCCAACCACATGACAAATATCTGCAATTGTTGAAAAACCAAACATGCATGTCAAAATCTTATAAATTCAGAATCAATTTTGTTCAATTGAACTGATGTAAAGTTCAATTGACGAGACTTTTGGTTAAAAGATAAAAAGTGTAAGGGTAAGTTTTTACCCAATAGGGAACACCATAGAGCTTGAGAATTAGAAGTGGACTAGTAGTGAAGGACAAATAGAGAAGAAAAGAAAACATAAGAAACCAACACACTGTTGAAAGTGTCACTTCTTTTCTCTCATTGGGTGAGAACAAGTTGCTATCTGGATGAAAGTGAGACCCTGATTTTCCCGGGCTTCTTCTCCACTGAAAAATATGAAATTTCACATCATAATATTAAAATTCAGATTATTCAACTCTTATGTTTTTGCCAAATAATAATAGTTAAAAAAAAATCACTCACCAAATAAATTGGATATGCAAACATGGGTAAAGGAACAGTGAATCTCACAAACTTTGTCATGCTGTCAAGACTCTTGTAAACCTTTTCTGTCATCTAAGATAATGACACACAAAAATTCACTTAATTAATTTAAAAAGTCTCATAACTACTAACTACCGAAACTTATATAATATAATCAGTGTCGTTTTATGCAAAAGTAAGTCCAATTGCTGCAAATAGTCCAAAATTTAAAAGTAACTTAATAGTCTTAAAAAATATTTTTTGCAATTACTCATGATTAAATAGTATCTTTATTTATTTCATCGCATTTAATTACGATTAATCTACGAGGAATCTCTAAAAATTTGAATCTCTATTATTTCATCATGGTTAAACTAGGATTAACCTATATTGAATTTCCAAAAACCAAAAACTTATGACAGTTAGATTAATTAAAAACAACAAATAGAAGCATTTAATTCATATACCGGCACCCATGATTCATCTTTCTCAACATTTCCATGGTTTTGATGATGTGTCCTATGACTAATTCTCCTGAAAAAACCATAAAAACAAAAAATTAATTAGATTAACAAATTTATGCATGTTTGAATTAACCAAAAACTTAACAAAATTTGTATCGTAATTCTGACAAACTCACTATTTTCACGAACATATAATTAAAGATTTGGCAAAGGAACAAGAAAAAATTTTAAAGAAATACTAATTCACTAACCATCCATGGTATGGAACAAGAATTGATGAGTGCAAAACATGGCCCACCAAGCTATTCACAAAAGAACTATCTGAGAAGCTTCCATGGCCACTATTCAAAACAAAAACACCAACATTGAATTCAAAACACATTAACAAAAACAAAACACATAATCATGAGCAAAACAAAAAAAAAACACAAATTTTTACCAGTCATGTCCAAGAACAAAAATCGCCCAAAACATTGTCCCTTGAAGAGGCCAATAAATAGGCCAAAAAAACCAGCTATCAAACCGAATTGCAGCAACAATCAATGCAGCAACAACCAACACATCCCTAACAACATAACTCAGAGATCTCCAAGTACTCTTGACCCAACAATGCTTTGGAATTGCAGCTCTAATTTCTGCAATCTTAAAAGGTGGAGGAGCACTAGGGTCAAAATCGGCACCACCATTACCATTGGACACAACCATGGTTTCTTGGCCTAGTGTTTCTTTGTTTTCAGATAGGTGGTGATGAATAGAGGGTGTTATAGCCATAAGATGAAATTGAAATGTTTTAACCTTATGTGTATATGTCGTTTATATAGGAGGGGTAATTATAGTTGCACAAGATTCTACTAGTAGTTTGACTTAATTTTTTTGTTTATTTAATTTTTGCTTTGATTTATGTTGATTTTGCTGAGATCTAGGGTGTGGTGGGACAAACGAAACGAATGAGGATACTTTGGGAAATGAGATGTGAAAGAAAAAAAATGACAGCTCGTTAATTTATTAAGATTGTGCATTTTTCGATTCGTACGGAAATTGTTGAATATTATTATAGTTCGAAACATCGTGTCTTTTGAAAAATGTGAGCTAACAAAAAAATAATTAATTTAATCAGTCGAGTTTTTTCACTTAAATATTATCAACGATTATATATTTTGTTACATTACACTTATATTTTAAAATTCTTTTAATAATATAGTTGATAGTTGATTTTCTATTAGATGATAGTGTAATATTATATTATATTTTTTAATATATTTTTATTAAATTCTAAGAAATTTATGATTCATAGGGATTCGATATTAATGAACAATTGTTATGAACGGTAAGATTAAGAATAATATAAGATGGTGATTTAAGAAAGAAGAGGTTTAAGCCTTGTGAACTTTATTAAGTTTTGTCTTAAAATACATTTTATAATTTAGTGTCATTAAATAGAGTTCATTAGATGATATGATGAATAATATGATGACACTTGTCTTAAAGAAGAAGATTATCGATTTTAGAATCCCTAGAATTCACCTATAAAAAAAGAAAAAAAATATCATGGTCAATGTACAAACTCTCTAAAACCCAAAAATATTATTCTTCGACTTGTTCAAAGTGTTTGCATATATCATTCATTCTTTTCACTCAACTAAAAGGGGCCTTTAAAAGATAAATGTTTCGGCTATTGTCTTCTTATTAAGATCAAAACCTTCTGCCGAAATATTCTAAGCAGAGGAGAGTTGTAACGCTCGTAATTTAATTAATTATTTAATTAAATTATTTTTGTAATAATTGTGAAGTTGTGTTATGATGATAATTGATGTGTTGTGATTAGTTGAATTTATTTATTTTATTAAGTTGTGGGATAATATTAGAATGATAATATTATTTGATGTGGGCTTGTTTTAAAGGAATAGAAGTAGTAAAATGGGGGGTGTAGTAGTCTTAAGCCCATTAAGGTATTTTGAGAATAATAGGGTTATTTTATTATTGTTAGAAATAATAAGAAAAGAAGAAGCAGTAAGAGAGAAGGAAATAAGGGTTGAAAGAAGAGAATGTGAAAGTTGTTAGAAAGGAGGAAAAGAGGTAGAACGGAAATCAACCAGAGAAGTTATAGAGCAACCTTCAATCCAAGGTAAGGGTGGGATTCTGACTCTATAATAGGGTTTATGATGATTGGTATGTGGGATTAGATGTGAAAGATTGTTTGGTTTATGATTGAATTATATACATTGTTGTTTTATGAGAATCGATGATTGAAAGATGAATAATGATGCCCTAATGTTTTATATATGATGTAGAATTATAGGATAATTATAATTGATGATTATCTATGATTAAAGGATGTTTTTAGGGCCTAAAGTATGGAAACCGTAGTGAAAACGCAGTGAGATCGTAGAAAATATCTGTGACAGAACAGTATGTGTCGACCCCAAAAGCCATGCGTCGATACATGAAGGCTTTTAGACTCAGGATGAGTCGATAAGAAGGAGTCATGCGTCGATACATGAAGGCGTTTAGACTCAGGAGGAGTCGATACGAAGGAGCATGTATCGATACATGCAATGTTGCAGACTCAGTATGAGTCGATACAAGAGAGTATGCATCGACTCATGTGGCGTGTTAAGTCCAGTACGCGTCGACTCAAGACATTACACGTCGATCCATGTAGTTTGGTTTTTGACAGAATCATTTTGAAAAGGCTGTAAATTGAGTTTTCGGACTCCGTTTGAGGTGTCGTTCAAAGCGTTGAATAGCTAACGCGATAAACTTCATTCTTAAGGATCAAAATGAAGGATAGGAAGGATAATCCTAGCATACAAATTAGTATTAAAGTTAGTTCTCACGTTAATCGCTATGTTGATTTTTGTGAAGAGTGATGAGGATGAGATGATTATAGATTATTGTTTGGTCTATAACAACAAGATTAATGAGGATAATAATGTAGTATTACATAATGAATAATATGTAGAGGTTTGGTAATTTATAAGTAAGCCTTATATGATTAATTAATTATAGTCAATATCATGTGTAGGCCTATGACCAACGTTTTGAGATTGACGATCTACTGCTGTATTGTTGTACGGCTGATTTGCTATGAACTATGTTGATAAATGACATTGATAAATGATGTTGATGAATTATGCGATGATAAATGATGTTTGATGAATTATGTTGATAAATGATGTTTGATGAATTATGTTAATAAATGATGTTTGATGAATTATGTTGATCGATGATGTTGATGAATGGTGTTGATGAAAGATGTTGAGACGCCTCTAATAATTGGCAACTATTAAGATGTAGGCTTCTGGACAATGATGATGTTGTGTTGAGATGTTGTTAATTACGGTGTTGTCATTACATTCATGATTGTGTCGCATACATTGCATTTCAAGATGGAGCTGATGCTCGTTAAGATGGCCTGTATTGGTGAATATTAAGATGAAGGCTTATGCCTTGTTGATGCCTCTATTTATTGGCAATTATTTGAGATGGGAGTTCTGCTCCAATGGTACCACATGCATTTGCATAATATTGAGTCGCATTATATGATTGCATAAAGAAGTTGTGTATTGATGCGGCGAATGTGTATATTGTTGGTGTTTCTGTGGCAATTATTGTTGTTTATAAGATGAGAAGTGGTGATGTTATGTGATCTAATTTAATATATTAATTATCATAGGTTTTATTATATTGTTAGATATCTCACCCCTTCTGTTTGAATGTTACCCTTACGTTGGTAACGTGCAGGTAATCCAGAGTGAAGGCTGTATACCTTTCGTAGTTCGAGTCGGTGTCATTGCTCTGATACGTAACACTCGGGGGGATGAACGCTTGTTGCTTTTAATTATTGATTATTTCAGTTGTTGAACTTTAATTTGATTGTTACTAAGTATACATTGTTTTGAAGTTACTGTAACGATGGACAAGATGTTACTAAGAATTTTGCTGCGTAGATGTTTAAATTGTTGAATTAAGAGATTAAATTACTATGCTGATAGTTCATCTGAAGTTTTAAAGTTTTATTTATCCACGTTGAGTGCAATGTGTTTTTAAAGTTGAATTTGTAGCATCCTGATTTAGTTGCATGAATTTTATGACTCTGATTTGCATATATAATTGTCGGGTAGAATTGGGGTGTTACACTATGGCCTTCTTCCAGAATCATCTTTCTCATTCTCGCATTATCAGGAATACAAATTCTGTCACGGAATCTCAACACACCTTGGGCATCTACTTTAAAGTCATTGTCTTCAGGTTTGTCGTTCACAACCATTAAGTCTACCAATTTCTCATCTAGTTTATGAGCCTTTCTATATAATCCAAGAAATCATTGTTAATTTTCAACATTCCCAAAATAACACTCTTCAGTGTCACTTCATAGACTAAACTCATGTCTCTGAATTGTTTAATTAACTCCAGTTCTCTAACCATCATAGCAGATATATGTAAAGTTTTCCGGCTCAAAGCATCGGCTACAACATTAGCATTACCTGGGTGATAATTTAAGCCAAAGTCACAGTCCTTTAATAATTCCAACCGTTTTCTCTGTCTCATATTCAGCTCTTTCTGATCATATAAGCATTTTAGGCTCTTATGATCACTAGACACTTCAAATCGGGATCCATATAGATAATGCCTCCAAATCTTTAGCACAAACTCTACTGCAGCTTATTCTAAATCATGAGTAGGATAGTTTCTTTCATGAATCCTCAATTTCCTCGACGCATAAGCAACCAATTTATCATTCTTCATAAGCACACCGCCTAAACCCAATTTAGAAGCATCACAATATACAACAAATGGTTCTCCAGGATTATGCAATATCAGGATCGGAGCTGTCGTCAACCGCCTCTTCAACTCAATAAAACTCTCTTCACACTGAACATCCCACACAAATGCTCTGCCTTTACATGTTAACTGAGTTACCGAAAGTGCTAACTTAGAAAATCCTTCGATAAACCTCCTGTAATAACCAGCCAGACCCAAAAAGCTTCTAATTTATGTGACTGATTTTGGAGCTTCCCACTGCAATATTGCATCTACTTTAGATGGGTCTACAACAATACCATCACCCAAAATAACATGACCATGAAAGTTGACTTATGTTAACCAGAATTCATATTTTGACACTTTCGCATACAACTCCTTCTCTTTCAAAACTTTCAGTACAATACACAAATGTTCCACACGCTCTTCTTCGGATTTGGAATAAATCAAGATATCATCGATGAACACTATGATAATCTGATCCAAATAAGTGTTAAAAATAAGGTTCATATATTCCATAAACACTCTCAGCGCATTGGTAACACCGAAAGGCATTACTGAATATTCGTAATGTCCATACCGAGTTCTGAAAGCTGTCTTCTGAATGTCTTCATCCTTTACTCAAATTTGGTGATACCCTGACCTCAAATCAATCTTGCTAAACACATGTGCACCCACTAATTGATCCATCAAGTCGTATATTCTCATAAGTGGATACCTATTTTTGATTTTCACTTTATTCAACTGTCGATAATTAACACATAATCTCATACTACCATCTTTCTTCTTCACAAGTAATACCGGAGCTCCCCAAGGCAATACACTTGGTCTCACAAAATTCTTTTCAAGCAGGTCTTCTAATTGCGTCTTCAATTCTGATAACTCGTATGCCGACATCTTGTATTGTGCCATAGAAATATGTTGGGTACCAGGTACAAGATCAATTAAAAATTCCACTTCTCTTTCTAGCGGCACACCTGGAATATCATCAGGAAAGACTCTGGGAAAGTCGCACATAACCTGCAACTCATCAATTGCAGCCTAATTCTCAATGGATAAAGACGCTATTAAAGAAAAAATTGAGTTTCATCTTTCATTAGTTAACTTAACGGTCTAGCAGATAAGAATCCAGCGTCCTCCTCCCCGTCAGAAGTAGAAAACCGCACTAACTTGTTATAATAGTTAATATGAACGTAATTATATTCCAACTAAATCATACCCAAAATCATGTCCAGACCAGTCAACGGAAAACAAACTAGATCAACAACAAAATATGTGTCATAAATTGACAAAGTACATTTCAAGCATACTAGAGAAGTAGTCACCGATCCCTTAGCTAGAGTATCGATAACCATTTCCCTATTCATAGAAGATAATATAAGACTCAACTTTTTAGCATAATTAGCAGCAATAAAGCAATGTGTAGCACCTGTATCAATAATAGTAATTAAAGGAGTACTATTAATGAAACATATACCTCTGATCAAGCGGTCTCCACTGGATATTTGAGCCCCAGCTAAAGCAAACACTTTCCCAACAGATCGATCTTTCTTAGGTTTTTGGCACTGAGCACTGATATGTCCTTCTTCATCGCAGTTGAAACATATTACTTCCTTGTGTCTACATTTAGTTATCTCATGCCCGAGTTTGCCTCAACGAAAACACCTCTTCACTTCAGAATTGCATTCACTACTTCGACGATCAGGTTTTCCACATATGTAACATACACTACCAGGATGAGCACCTCTCCCACTTGGCCTATTACCATCAATAAGTTTCCATTTTCCTTTGTCAGTCGTAGCATTGTAAGGCTTCCCACGATATTGTTGTTGTTTGCCTCTCTTCTCAGTAACAACCTTGTAGTGAGCCTTCCTATCTTCTTCATAAATCCTGCAGCTGTTCACTAAATCTGGAAATTTATGGATCCTCTGATACCCAATTGCCTTCTTGATTTCTGAACACAGTCCACTTTCAAACTTCACACACTTTGAGAATTCAGCAGTCTATTCGCTGTAATGAGGATAATAGTTTGCCAATTCCATGAATTTGGCAGCATATTCAATTACTGATAAATCCCCTTGTTTCAGTCCCAGATATTCAATCTTCTTCTTCCCACGAACATCCTCTGGGTAATACTTCACTAGGAATTCCCTGCGAAACACAACCCAAGTAATAACTTCTCCTATGCCTTCCAGTCTCTGGCGAGTAGCAACCTTCCAGTCATCTGCCTCTCTTGCCAGCATATGCATATCAAAATGCACATTCTGTGCATCAGAATAGTTCATAACTCAGAAGATCCTTTCGATATCCTTGAGCCACTCATGCGCTCCTTCAGGATCATGCTTCCCTTTGAACGTAGGTGGATGACTCCTCTGGAAAGTATCAAAAGCATGAGTCTCATCGTTCCAACCAGCATAAGGCTGATTCTGCGTTGCCTGAACCAAAGTCTGCAACATATTAGCAAGTGCACCATTGCCTCTTCCAGCTATTTCTCTGCTACACATCACAACATCAAACAACAGTTAGATAGAAAAAAATCGATAATATTCCACTATCACACTCCACTAACGACTCAATAACCTAGCCGGAAAAACCGACCTGCTCTGATACCAATTGTAACACCCTATTTCCCCGTCGATAATTTTAAATAAAAATTAGAGTAAATTAATTTCTAAAATACAACATAAAAATAGGATGTCACATGCTTCATACATCATACATGCTCATTAAATAAGATACACAACACAATTAATATGTTTAAGTCTTAAACTACCTTTTATTTATTTACAATAGGAGAACATCAATAACAATCATCTCAACTCTCCAACCAGAGTTATAATTATTATATTTTCAAAATTCAGCATAATCATAAATTAAACTCAAACAATAGAGTAGTGCAAAGTTCACTTCCAATGAAATAAAATAAATGTGAAACCCCCAAGTGTTACGTATCAGAGCAGACACTGAATCAATCTACGCAAAATTGAAGGAACTCTTCAACTAACCTCGACCTCGAGCTACTTCAGATCATCTGTACGTTACCTAGATAGAGGCAACATTCAAACAGAATAGGTGAGATATCATAATAATATAAGAGGAAACATAACAATAAGTAGATAGCAATTTAAGTACATATAATTACACTTCTTTGCCTCACACTTTTACTTTGTTCATCATATTACGAGGTACATCATTACTTAATCAACTACACAATCAACACATAACATCCATCATAATATAATACATACTTTCATCAATATTCACCCATCAAATTATCAATCATAATGTGATGCAAAAAGACCTACACTGACTCAATGCATATGGTACCAACAAGGTAAAACCCTCATCATAATAATGCCAACTTAGGGCAGCAACATCATAACACCAATACACGCCATCACTTGCTAATATATGCCATCACTCACCAATGCAGGCCATCGCTTCATAAATGTATGCGACACTAACATGCAACAACTTAATTTCACATTGATTATTCTTACCTATCAATGCCACCCCCAATATAGACCATAACCATCATCATTATCATCCATATCATGTCACACAATTAAAACATTCATGCAACATCATCGTACTCAATCACAATACCAATCTCATCATCATATTCACAATTTCACATTACATTAAAATATCAGAATAACACAAAAAATCCAGAAAATCATCTCACACTGTTTTCGAATTATTTTTAATAGATAGAAATTATTTTTAGCTTCCCATGGATTCAAACAACGCGTCAAACGGACACCCAAGTCAAAAGTTATGAAGTTTTTAATTTTACAAAAATGATGTCCAACACAGTGGTAACCGGTTACTCAACACCAGTAATCGGTTACTGCACAAGTCAGTAGCCCTATTTTTAAAAATATATCAGTGTTAACCGGTTACTGCATTACAATAATCATTTACTACGTAACACAATAGCCTCTGTTTCTTCACTTTTTCACGTGGTAGCCGATTACCAGCAGGCCAGTAACCGATTACCACTATTGCATAACAGAAAAATCTGCAACTTTTTCAAATGCAATTTTTGACATTTCAGCACCAAAATTTCCAATTTTTCTCATAAAAATCTATCTTTCAATCATGCTAATTATTCATCAACACCTGTCTATCGTTTCTAACGAAAACACATAATTAAATTCACAATCAATCACACAAAAATGTATCAAAACTCAATAATGGGAGAAAAACCCCAAGAACACCAATTAGGGAGAAATCAAAACATACAACTGTACAACCTAAATTCTACCATATCCCATTATTAGGCAACACATTATAAAGTTAGAATCCCCCCTCACCTTAGATTGGTGATGATTATGGATTCCTATGGATGAACTTTCCTACCCTCGCTTCCTAATGCTTTCTCCTCTTCTCACTTCTATGCGTCTCTTTCTCTGTTTCTACGTATTGACACTCTTTCTCTTCTTCTCACTCTAATATATTCCAATAAAAAAATAATTAACCCAATAAAAAAATTATATAATATTATTATAAAATAATGATAATCCTAATATTAAAATATAATAGTAATAAAAATTCATATTATACTACAAACCCTTATGTCTCTACATATTTAGCCATACACCCCTAAAACCTCAACTTTCGTCATTCTAAGGCGTCTAGTTCCCAACAAAGATATCATATCACATAAGCTAATTATTTAATTAAAATAATTCTAATTAAATCGGGATGTTACATCGAACCCTCTATCGCCTTGCCTCCTTTTGAGGACTTATCAATGGGGAATAAGAATGGGACGCCTTCATCGAGGTCTTTGGAACAAATGTAAACAAAATGAATTATAAACAAACAAGCGCACATATGAATTTCCTTCTAAAGGTATTTTAAAACATAATTGCCCGCCTAATGCAAGGACTTCCAGAACATGCATCTCTAGTCCTACTTCTCATGACAAGAAAAATGGTAAATAATCACGCATCTCTATTCCTATTTCTCATGGTAAGGAAAGCGGTAAATGATGCAGAAACATAAACTAGAATCAACGTAATACCAAATGAACAGTATTTCGTAGCAAGCAAGTAAAAGCAAAGAAACCCGGAAAACTTCGAGCAAATTTCACCAAGCAACAGAAAAGAGTCAGAAACCAAATGCTTAGGAATAGCGTCGAAGCATCATCAATGTAAAAATAAATCACAATAAAAAACTCGAGCATATCCGCGTATCACACAATAAACCTGCATAAGACTCAAATCTCGACAAGCAAACGTAAATCACAAGTCTCATGTAATCGAATAATCATGAATTAATTCCTAAAATCAAATAAAAAAAATAAAAATTATTTATTTATTTTGTAATTTTTTATCATCATAAGATATAGAAAAAATTAAGAAAGAAAATCTTAAATCCTAATAAGAAAATATGAAGATCAGGGGGGATGAACTAGAATCCAGGGGTACAAAAATTAGGGCACTAGGCCCATTCAGAAATGAGTCCAATGGCACTTTTTTGTTCAATTATCCTTTTGCTGTACAAAAATACCCTGGGCCAAGGCAACAAATTTATGGTTCGGCCCAGTATCAACACAAACTCGAATCCAAATTATTCATCATTTATCAATTTTATCAGTATATTATTTATTGAATTAAATTTTTTTAAAAGAAAAGAACAAATTAAAAAGAAAAAAATAAAGAGGATTAGGGTTATAACGTGGCTTTTTAGCTTCTATGCGAAAACCAAAACTCTCCCCTCTCATTTGCAGCCCGCGGCGACCGATTCCCCTCTCAGCCTTCTTCTCCAATCGATGAACGCCAGCGCCAGTGCCATATCACATCTCTGTTTCGATCTCTCATCATCGTGCCATCATTCATGAGTTCACCAACCTCTTCACGGTGCCGTTTCGTCTCCTTCGCGCACTGAATGATGTGGCTTCATCACCTTGCAGTCTCTTATCTCTAAACATTGTCCGATATCGCCTCCACTGCACCGGAGACCGCGGAGTATGGCTTCTCCTTCCACAATCAAGTGCTACACTTATTTCCTCATTATGAATCGCATTTTAGACTCAATTTCACGAGGAAAAGCTTTAGAGCCTCTCAAATACAAAGAAAACCTAGTCTACACGCACAAGGATAGGAAGTGAAAGGCATCGAATATGCAAGAATTCAGTCTTACCTAACGGAAGACGACTCCAGAGATTCTTCCAATTGTTGAAGAGGATTAGAAAAATCTGAGACTAAAGGTATTATTACACATCCTACTATATTCCTCTTCTCGTTCTGCTTTATCTCTATTCTTGTTCTTGAGTTGTGCGATTTTGAAATGAAATATTGTTGTTGTTACAGCGTAACAGATTCACTTCAGCTGATGCGACGATGATGATGATGTGCGTCTTGCAGAATATTGTTGATGCAGAGAAGTGAGAAATTGATGATGAAGATGTGAAGGTTTATGGAAGTATAGCAAAGTGCGATGAAGATGTGAAGGTTTATGGAAGTATAGCGAAGTGTGATGAAGATGAAGGAAGTTCTTTGATTAATGATGAAAATTGTGAAGAGGTTAGAGTGAAGGTTGAAGATGAAGATAAGATGAAGATCACTGAAGGATGGTGATGAGAGATCGATGATGATCCTTATTGTTGCATAAAATTCAGAAACTGAGATTGAAGAGAGAGAAAGAGCTTTTCTGATTTTTTGATGGTGATTCTTCCACAGATTGAAGAATGAATCTCGATTCAAGGTAAGTTTTGTTTTTATATTTCTGTTAGAGCTCTGAGAAGTTAGTTACAGATAAAAGGATCTCAACCTTTAATTCTAGAAGTTAGTTATGCAAATCGATGGATGAGATTTAATCTAAGTTTTACTCTGAAACTTCTGTTATTTGAGCTGAGCTATAACTTCTGAATTTTTCTTTTGGCCGCTTCTTTTACCTGTCTTGGTTTTCTGAACTGATTTTATGGACAAGTTTTATTAATGACCTCATTTACACCGTTTTCACCCTTTCCATCTTTATATTGCTTCTGATTTTAAAATGAGGCGTGGCTTCAGTTATTTGTGATGTGCAGGGTACATCGATTATTTTTTGGAATTGACTTTCGTGGCCTGATTTGCAGTTTAATGCTTGAGTTTTTGCAGGTTAAAGCTCGGGCAGCAGGGAGGTTGTTTTGATGGTGTTAATTTCTGAACTGGATTTGGCTAACTGTTTTATAGCAGCTCTAGGCATATTTGGAACAGGGCATACCATGAGAAGAATTGAAAAAAATGTGAAGAACATGAAGTATTAGAAAAAAGCTTGAAAGTTTGGAACAAAATTGAAACTGTTTTGGTTAAGTTTCATGGTCAGCTTTAGCAAGGTTTTCATATTTTTTTCTAGGAGTTAGGTTAAAGATTTGGAACACTTAGGCTTAAAACCACAACTTTGTAATCCTTGTAAATCTTGTAATCTCGAAGGCACCTTTCTTTTGAGGGAACTTTGAACAATGTTGAATGGATTTTGTCCTTTGTAATGTATTAGAAATTTGGATGAATGGAAGTTTGAATGAATTGTAACTTGAAAATTGGATGATGTAATTCTTTTGCAACCTTGAACTTTCAAATTGATTTTGAAATTCCAAGTTCTTTTCCTCTAATATTTCCTTTAAATGCCTCTGTATGAATTCAAGTAATCATGGTACGAATCTAAAATATTTGCAAGGTAATCGAAAGAGACTTGAATCTTGAATGAATTCTTGAAAGACTATTTGGATGACACTTTGATTGTTGGATGAAATAAATGAATTTGAGGCATGCCATTTTATACTTGTGACTTGAATTCCAAGAAATGTCACACAAATATTTAAGAACTTTGATTTGCTTTAAATCCACTTCAAATCTTAATGAATGAATTCCAATCAAACTACAACTTCAATGAATCCCTAATTCAATTCAATTCCTCAATCTAAACCAAATTTGTGTGCCAAGAAACAAGCATTAGAAAGAATGTTGCCTTGAGCCCAATGGACCTTCAAACTCAACACCTTGTATCATGGTTCAACAATGGTCTCAACTCAACAACAAAGCCTTGAGGAAATCTGGAGAATGAATATGGGAATATGGAAGATAGCCTTGATGTGAAAATCCAATGATCCTTAGTTGAATATTAAAAAAACTCAACCATGATAAAACGTAAACCCTAACAATTCATATCCCTAATCCACCTGCCTCCAGAAATAACTTGAAAGATGGCTTTGTCTTTTGATGAAAGAAGAAATTCCCATGCTTATGATTACAAACCCTAATTCCTCGAACACAAATCCAAATTCCTCAAACCAAGATTAATGAAGAAACACATTGAAGAACCCTTGATTGAATATGATATATTCAGAGCCAAAGAAACCTTAATTTTCCAGTTCATTGCTCAGAGGAGAAACAGACGGATCAATCTTATTTGATATGTACCCCTCAAAATATTGTGAAAGCTGTAACTTGTACGCCCAATGAACTTTTGAACCTTAAGCAATTTATTGAATGAAAATGCATGCTATGTTAGTGATGATGACCTAATGAAAAGATGTGAATGCAACGCTAAGCCTAAGCCAGATAACAATAAATTAGGAGGGCAAATTTTAGGGTGCAACACCCATTACTGTTAGGTCGTAATGAACATTACTGACCATAATGGAGAGCACTACAGTGTTCACCAAAGGGCTCTACGGTTAAAACATAATTAACGTAGAGCACAAGAAGCCTCCATTAGATTCTCTTTTTTTAGTTGTTTTCTCACACCTCTTCTATTTTCAGTTGTTTCAACGACGACAAAAGTGAATTTAAGGCCATCTAGAGGAATTTACTCTTATCATTATGTGATTAGTCCTATAAATACTTTTGTAATCTAGAGAAAAACACAATCTTTTTACTAGATTTTCAGCTTTTTGTTATTTGTTATCTTTATTCTGTTTTGTTGCATTACTGCACTTTCAAAGACTCTCTAGGGAAAGTTTAGAAATATACATTGATTTCTAAACTAGAAAGTGTACTAGTCTCGTCGAAGTAACAAATTAAATCTGTCTCCACAAGGATTGTGAATTTTAACAAGGTAATGATACTATTAATTAAGTAAAAACAATGAGGGATTTTCAAGTTTGATTTGGTTCGAGAATAAAATGAGAAAATAATCAAAATAAAATTCAATAGTTAAAGGCGATTAGCGTTGGAAGTAATTTATGTTCAGAAGTTGAATATTCACAAGCAGTGTTCTGACTCAGAAGCAGAAGCTTCTGAGGCTGTTGTTCTAGAAACTATGTTTAGTTTCTAGAGTTTATTTTGTTTTAGCTTTGTTAGCAGTGCCTATGTGGCAATTTAGTTTTGTGTATTTAAACAAGTTTGTATTTAGTTTTTTTAATAATGTGAATTTACAAGATTTTTTCACAATTGAGTTTAACTCTCCTTAAAAGTTTGTTATAACCATTTTCTCCCTCTTATCTTTCTCTCTCTTATTTCATCTTTATCTTCAACCTTGTGCTCCAACAATTGGTATCTAGAGCTTCAGTTTGATTCACAAGGCAACACAAGTGTACGTGAGGCGTGTGTAATTGATTTTTTTTCTTGAATTCACGATCATAATCGTAACAGAATTGCATTTCTTGATTTTTTGGATTTGGAAACACAAGTGTTTTGGTGATATCTGTTTGAGTTTTAGTGCACAAGAATGAAGATAAACGACATAAATAGCTTGAACACAAAGCTCCCGATGTTTGATGGAAAGAATTGGAATCGGTGGGTTATTAAGATGCGTGTGTTATTCAATGCTCAAAACGTTCTTGATCTAGTTATCGAAATTTATGTTCTAGTTGCAACAGATGCGACAGAGGAACATATAAACATGCAAAGAGATACGAGGAAGAAAGATCAGAAAGCATTGTTCTACATCCATCAGTGTGTGGATGCGAATGTGTTTGAGAAAATTGATGATTCAATGATGGTGAAGGCTGCATAGGACATACTAGCACGGTGCTACGACGGTGATGCACTAGTGAAAATGTGAAGCTTCCGTCTCTATGTAGGCAATATGAGAATCTCAACACGAGAAACAATGAGAAGGTACCAGATTATATCTCTAGAGTGATCTTGTTCACAAATTAGATGAAATCTTGTGGAGAAAATCTTTCTGAACAAATAATCATTGAGAAGGTATTGAGATCTCTTACTCCTCAATTTCACTACATTGTTGTAGAAATTGAACATTCTAAGAATCTCAACACCATGAGAATTCAAGAGTTGCAGAGTAGTCTAGATGCACAAGAGTTGCATCTGATTGAGAGAACCTTTGAAGAAAGGTAGAGAAGGCTCTGAAGGCATCTTCTGGTAAGAAGAGTCAGAATCATTCTTGGTCAGAAGCCAAGAAGAGACACAATAGTTCTCGGAAGTCAGAAACTTCCAACTCTGATGAGAAGAAACATCAAAAGGAAAAGAAGAAGCTTGACACGAGAAAGGCCCAATGCTACTGTTGTAATATGTTTGGTTACTTTGCTAAGGACTATTTATCAAACAATGAAAAGAAGTCACAAGAAACAAACATAGCCAGAGAAGATTCTAATGATGAACCTGTGTGAAGTGGTGAAAATCAGAGACCAAGCTATTGATTAACTTGGCTTGCAAAAGCAAGAGTCGCCACCCCTCTTTATTATTTCCAAGGGAAAGGGGAAAATGTGAAATAAAACCCATAAATATGCAAAGTAAGTGCAACACTAAAATTAAAGAAGAATACAATGCATTTGAAAGAGATCGAAGGTTCGGGGATTGATTATACAAAGGGAAGGGACTAGCATCCTATGTATCTATAGTATCCTAGGAACCTTTTCAAATATCTATTTTTTGGTTAAAATTGGTTTGCTTGCGAAATGAGTGTGGGAATAAGATCTTGAAGATGCGACGACCTAGTGTAAAAGTTTTAGCTTAAATGAGTGTAAGTTTAAAAATTGAGTTTTCCAGGAGATTTAACTTAAGATTAAAAAAAACTAAAATGTAGGAAAGGGGTTTCGCATAATCATATTAGATATATTCGATGGCATGAAGTCAACAAATTAATCCTTTCCCTTGGATTAGACAAACAAAAATACAAAGACTAAATGATTGGAAAAAAAAGAAATTAACTAAAATAGCAATTAAACAACTAAATAACTAATAACTAAAAATTAATTAAATAAAAGAGAGTAAATTATACTAATATATATGTTTTTGGTATTTTTGTAGGGATAAGAAAATAATTATAAATCTAAACTAATGTTTTTGTATGAAATTTTAATAAAATAAAGCTAAATAACCTAAAACTAAAAAAAGAGCAACACTATGGGTTGAACTCAAGACCCCAAGATTGGGGCATGAATGGCTTACCATTACACTATATTCTTCTTTTGTTATATATACGTTTCAAATAACATTAGAGGATAAAATTTAATCAGGTTGGGCTTAAAATAAAGTCCAGAACCCGAATCCATCTAAGAGAGAAAAGAGAGGGTTTCAAAACCCTAAAAATTTGAAAGGAGCGCCGTTGGGATTGTATGGGGAAAGGGTCAAAAGTTTAATCATCATTTTTTTATTATATGTTAATTGTTCTCAATAAAACTCAATTAATTATTTTGATTCCCTATAAACAATAATTAGAGCATACATTTAGGAAAATAGAAAATATTAACCATGAACCCTTCTCTCGCAAAACCAAATCTCTCTCCAATTCTCTCAAAGCACGCCCTCCATCTCTCAGCAGATTGTTCCATTTTCGAACAACAATAGAGCAACGATACTTACTCTCTCCCTCATAACAATCATCAACAATAATACTCATGTTCTCTCAATCATATGACCAAAACAAGCAGTGACTATTTCAAACGATATCAATCCAAATCCATGACCAAGTGCACAAGAATATCACAAGAAAAGCGTAAAAACTCAACCACAAATAAGAAGCATAACATGAAAGAGATAGGATAAAATATTAACCCGAAAGTTATTCAAAGAGGAAAATCTAGGTGAGTCGATCTACTTTGCTTTTGTTGCTCGTGTCATTACTATTGAAATATGTGCGTAGGTATTTTCATGTCAGTGTTGCGATTCAGATTTGCAGGTTATGTCAGTTATTATGTTTCTCACTTGCAGGTAGATGGTGAAAAGTTCAGTTTGATATGGTTGCA